CCCCAAAACCCCAAAACCCCAAAACCCCAAAACCCCAAAAATTATTAGGAATATTGATAATTTATAATCTGTGTATAAATGGGGTATAGCGATGCTGGTAAGTAATACAATAAACACCTCCAAACCACCCTTCTTTTTCATTTTCCTTACCTTTCCATCTACAGACATAAACAGTAGCCAAGCTGATGAAAAATCCCAGTACTTAGGTAATCCCTATGCTAACCCCCTTATTCCAAACCTTAATCTCCAAACTTCGCTTTTCCACACCGAAATCACCCATTCAAATTCCCACCAGTTCTAAACCCCTTTAGGTTCTGAAAAAGAGGTTCGCCTGAAGATAAGCAGTGAAAGTAATCCTGAAAGTCTCAAAACTCCTGCTAAAAATCAGTGAGGCTCTTTACACAAGAGCCCAGCCTCTAAAGACAAGAAACAGCCTATAGAGTACTTCCAGGAGATAATGTTTTATAGAGGTATTAGTCTAAGCAAAGATATTGTGAAGAAGTTCCAAACTCAGTGCAAAGTCCGCCAGAAGGAATACAAGGAGAGACTCTCGTCTTCTCATAAACTTGGCAATGCAGCCAAGAATGCAGTCTTGAAGTAAATTCGTCCTAATTTTCCAGACTTGAGCCTCTTTTGCCTAAGAATTTGAAGGCAGAGTTACATAAAGTTGGCAAGCCATCGTATGATCTTTCTAAATTTCAAGAGAAAGTGAACAAAATTAGCCCGACTAATTATCATATCAAAGAGAGAGCGATCAAGCTCTGAGCGAAGATGGTCAGGCTGATAGAGCTCTACAGACTTAATGACAAAATGCTTCAGAAATCAGAAGAAAAGCTGAATTCTTTCAAGGTAATGTTCTGATTTCACAAAATTTAGAACAAGTCAGGCAAAGAATTACTGGAAGAAATTGCTAATTCACCTAAACTATCCAAATCGCCTAGGAGAAGGTCCAAAAGAGGTGGAATTAGAAGAATTGGTAACAAAATGCATTCGAAAAGTTTCCTGTCCCCTTCTAAAATTCTTAAGAAAGTTAGAGAGCTTGATGAAGAAGGTAAGCAATTTTTCATGTTTGCCCTACTTGTGGTTCAAGATCGTAATAAATGGCTCCAATAAATTATATAATCTTCATATGTATCTTTATAATCCAACAAAGATCGTCTAATATGGGAGTATCTTCGAAACTGGTCTGGCGAAAAACATTGAGTTTATAGATGAAGAGCAACCAAATGGTAAAGCAATTCACCATTCCAACATCTACAGTAAACAAGAAATGATGAAGCTCACTAAAGATAACCTGAAAAAGTTTGAAAAGAAGAAGGTAGGGTAGTCATCTAACTTTAGACTTCGAAGCTTGATAAAAGTAGCTATAAGATTGACCCTTGCCAGATCGAAATAGAGGCTTTCATTCAGAACACTCCTAAACTCTCAGAAATTCCTGGGATGAGCGCTGGCAAAATGTTTAAACTAACAGAAGTATTTTCCAAGTGCATGGGTAATTCCATTGCTGCCACAGGGAACTCTCCTATGCTATACAACGATATGTTTTACTCATTGTGTCAGAGTAGCATAGGAGGCTCTTCCTGCTATGGCTTCTCCACAGCTAGAACAAGCCATAATCTGCCTCAGAATGTTGGCATGATGCCTCATGGAAACCATCTGCGGTGGCAGAATAGTAAGGATACCATCTCTGAGCTGCATAAGGCACTTAGCTTCAGCCAGCTTTCTAATGCTGGCTCGGATGATTACAAGAAGGACATCATTAATAATAAAGACTACCTAAAAGATTTCCAATGTGCTGAGAAAGAGCGAGAACTCGAACTCAGCGACTATGCTGACTTCTAATTCATGCCATATTTCATTTTGTTCTAAATGCAAAGGGGTTTTGGGGTTTTGGGGTTTTGGGGTTTTGGGG